AAAAAAAAAAAAAAAAAAAGAAAAGAAAACTACAGGCAAATATCTTATGAATATTAAAAAAAAAATTATACACCAGGAGCAATTGAGATTTTTTCCTAGGGATAAATGTTGGTTCAATGTCTGAAAGTTAATTAATGTAATACGTCACATCAAGAGACTAAAAAATAAAAATCACACGATCATGTCAACAGACACACACACACACACACAAATGACAAAATCCAATACCCTTTCACGATAAATGCACTCAAACTAGGAATACAAGTAAATTTCCTCACCTGTAACCCCAGCACTTTGGGAGGACAAGTTGGGCGGATCATTTGAGGTCAGGAGCTCAAGACTAGCCTGGCCAACATGGTGAAACTCCTCTACCAAAAATACAAAAATTAGCCAGGCGTAGTGGCACACGCCTTTAATCCCAGCTACTTGGGAGGCTGAGGAAGGATAATCGCTTGAACCGGGAGGTGGAAGTTGCAGTAAGCTGAGATCACACCACACACTCCAGCCTGGGAGGCAGAGAGAGACTCCATAACAACAACAAAAAGAAGTAAATTCTCTCAACTTGATAAAGGGTGTCTACAAAAAACAATATACTTAATTATAACAGCTAACATTATACTTAATGGTGAAGGCTGGATTCTCTCTCATTTAGGATTAGGGACAAGACAAGGAGTCTGCACTTGCCAATTCTATCCAATATTGTATTAGAGGTTCTAGCCAGGGCAATTTCTCCTCATTTGCCTCCTCAACTGACAAATTGGTGGCATGAAGAATGAATAGTTTCAATAGTTTCATCTGCGTTCCTCATGATTAAAAATCTTCATATAGCCAGGCACATAGTGTGTACCTATAATTTCAGCTACTTGGGAGGCTGAGGTAGGAGGATTACCTGAACCCAGGAGTTCGAGACCAATCTGAGCAAAATAGTAAGACTCTGTCTCTCCACTATAAAACGAAACACAAAAAAACTTCATATAAAAGTTTTACATCCTTTCCCAACTCCTGCAAATATTTCCAAAATGTTCCAATCTCATGTGCTATAAAGAACCGGACTTCACAGAAATAAACACTGCACCTAAAAAATGATTTGGATTTTTTTTTTTTTTTTTTTAAACAGAGTCTCTCTCTGTTGCCCAGGCTGGAATGCAGTGGCATGATCTCGGCTCACCCCAACCTCCGCCTCCTGG